ATTATAGATAAATTTTATGGACTTCTTGTCTGAAATTAACGCATATTATTATTATTATTATGAGAGGATAAATTTAGGGGATGAAATTTTGTATGAAATCTACCTTTTTAGAGGTTTTTTGTAATTTTAGCGCGCGCGACGCCGCGGATTCTGCTAGTATTTATATAAATTATCATCATCATCATCATCATCATATAAATTAATCTACATACTAGTATATGTATACGTCGAGTGCAATCACGATTACCTAACATACGTTCATTTATGTTTGAACCATTCCTACTTCCTAACAACTTGCAAGAAATAACTCAAACCCCCTATATAATATAGTTTTAAAACTATACTAAATAAGAGTTACAATTGCATGTCATTCTGTACATAAAGCTAGTTATATAATAAACGCTAATATGAGCGCACTACCATAGAAGCATGTGATAATATCTTAATGAGGAAATATGTACAATGTACATACATTACATTCTTCGTGTAAAAATAGTTTATTTATTTATAGCAGAGAATAAAACGGGATTCTAGTTTAGACCAATGTAAGAGCTAAATCAAAAAGCTATATTTTTTGTATAAGAAAATGTGCATTATACTGAAACCTAGAAAAAGGTATCAAAATTATTTCATCTAGATAATTTAAAACGTATTAAAATTAGAAATCTATAATAATATTATAATGAGGCAGAGTTTATTTGTTTGTTTGTTCGTTTATTTGTTTGATTGAACGCGGTTATCTCAGAAGCTACTTAGTAATCCGATTTGATTTTTTTTTGCATTAGATAGCCCGTTTTTTGAGGAAGGCTTCTCTTTATAGCCTTTCTCAATAAACGGGCCGGTTTCCGGTTATAGGATATATAAGCTGCTATTGCCCAAGGGAACGGAGTAGTAATCATAAATGTTAACAAATCGGGCAGATTTCCATACATTATTGTAAAAATGATGTTTATAATTAAGCAAATTTAACGCGAGTGAAACCGCGGGGCATAGATAGTATTAGATAAAAAGGTTATTGGCTTTCTTCTTAAAATAACAAAAAGTCATAGTATTTTTTTCGTTATATTTTTTATAACATTTAGCCGCAAGTTATGTTTTTATTTAATTCATTAGAATAGATTCTTAGATAGCAATCCACCACGGAAATTGTACATTTATAACATGTTTTATTTTAATTAAAAGTAGTAAAAAAGTACCCTTTTCAAGTACAACTACAAAATTTTATATTTATAAAACATTTGATACTATGTTTAATTTTATTTATTTTTCTGGGATAAAAAGTAACCTATTTGCTATTCTAAACTTTAATCTATTTCTGTGTCAAATTTCATCCAGATCCGTCCAGGCGTTTTGGCGTGATAGAGTAACAAATATCCATCGAAACTCTCGCATTTATAATATTTATATTATGGGATTATACATAGATTTTTATACCAAATGTTTATTTGTAAAAAAAATTATCTAACGCCATAAGGTTACGTGCTGTAACTAAAGAGTGATGATTAAGGAAGTAATTCTTGCATATTAAAGAAAGTGCTAAAATTTGCAACGTTAGTGAGTGTCCATAGGACTTTCACATTTCTTTTCAAATCATTTATAATTTTATGTACATATATATACTATTATAAAGAGGTTATGAAATGATATGATACTCCAAAACTACTCACCCCGTTATGAAAACTTCTTTCACTTTTAAAAAGTTCAAAATCTTATGAGAATAATTGTTCATATTTATATTTTGGTATTTTATATGTAAAAATTAGGCAGAACGACGCGCATGTAGTAAGCATCTGAGCAAAGCGAGAGTAGCCCTATTAAGCAAGTTATTTCTATCAATATTTCTAATACAATATATCTTGATCAATATCTTATAAATAAGAGAAATATTAAAAAAATATTGGTTCGCTGAGTTTCTTTCGCCAGTTCTTCTGGATTTTTCTATCCGAATTAATGGCACACTTATAACGATAATATAATCGTAAAAAAACAAATACTGGGTTTGAATAATAATTAAAAAAGTATTTATGATGAATGACTTATACTGATCACGTGGGAAAATCTCACATCTCTTAGATAGGTATATCATTTTTAGGGTTCCGTACCTAAAGGATGCCAACTAAGCCTCCACTCTTCGTCTGTCAGAGGAGTGTATCTCATGAACCGTAATAGGTAGGGACTTGAAATTTTCACGAAGTATGTATTTCTATTGCCGCTATAACAAAAAATACCAGAAATAATATAATGTCATTTTGACTTAGCCCTCATAGATTTTTCCCGTGTAAATAAGCAGAGCATAATTATGACTTGGTGCGGCAGAACGTTTTTCAATCGAGTTCCTCAAAAAGGAGGAGGTTCTCAATTCGGCTGTATGTTTTTTTTATGTTTGTTACCTCAGAACTCCGTGATTTATTAACCGATTTGGACAATTTTTGTTTTGTTTGAAAGTGTATACTTCCAGATTGGTTCCATTTAAATTTAAAAAAAAAATACCACCCCGAAAGTTAGAAAAATAGCTAATGATGAATTTACCTACTTCGATTTGTCAAATTGACTTTAAATTTTGCATGTGTTTCTATTTCCGTTGATAGTGCAGTGGTTTGGTATCGTTGACCAGATCTGATGGTACGGCCAGAAGGTGGATAGGTAAAACTCTTGAACGGCTAATAGTAGATTATTATAGATACTTTGAGTTTGGGCTTATTTTGTTAGATTAAGCTTTATTTGACAAGCCGAACACTTTAGAATCGAATATTAGAGGCAGAATTTTTTGTGTTTCTAATAAAAGCGAATTCTAGTTTGTAAGTCTTCGTATAAAAATTGGCGTCAAAGTAACTTCAACGGTTTAAGCGAATATTTTATTAAAATGCTTTATTCTTACTTTACTACTACATACTATGTCTACACTAAAAAGGGAAAATAAAAACTTTTTAACAAAAAAATAAATAAAAACCGACTTCAAGAAAAGCACTAAAAAGTAAAAAATTACTGATTGGTAGTTTTCATTTACTATACCTACATACCTAATTAAATATTTTCGAAGTCGGTGTGCTTTGCTTCCTATCGGCTGGCACCGACTTCGAAAATATTTAATTAGCTTTTTTTGAAGTCATAACCCATTCACAGTGATATTTTTAACACAAACTTTTATTTTTAACTGCATGACGGTGGCATGTATAAACGCATTTCTCAACGTTAAAAAAAGGTTTTAAATAAAAACTAAGGACAGATTGAGTTTCTAATGCAACTAGAAATTAGTATGGAGATAGTACTGTAGCAATTAATTCGTTATTAAGAATTGAATTACAATGGAAAATGGGGGCATGGCAAAGTGAAATGAAATTAATTTTTGTCTTTGATTTTCTACTGCATATTTAATAGGGTAATTAAACCTTTTTGTTTAATCCTTTACAGTATTTATTGTAACAGTCATTAACTGTTACTAGGTAGTTCTTTTTCGTTGTATTCCTTCTTAAAAACGTAATAAATATCGATGAAGCTTTTATTATCATGTAATATTATTTTGAAAATTTAATAAATAACTAGCGATTCACCATCGCTTCGCTCTGGTTCGTCCCTAGGTGATTCTTTAAATTGCCATAGCTTTTTATTTATGCACCTATTGAAATAAAACAAATACTAAATGTTAAGTGACAATACATTTTTGAAAACCGCACCCAAATCGGTTAAGCCATTTCTGAGATTAGCGCACACAAACGTACAGACAAACAGACAAAAAATCTAAAAAATCATTTTTTGGATTCTATTCCGCTAATAAAGACCCATAACAATAGTTTTTCTCAAATGCTTCTATGTACAGAGCGATCAGTTACAATTCTATTATACCTGTACATATATACCATGTATAGATTTTCGTTGTATTAAATGTTAAAGTTTGAATGAAGTTATTAATAACTTATCATATTTTTTACAAGAGCTAATATAATTATAATTATAGTTCTAAGACGAGGTAAAGATTATTGACGTCTTTAAAACATAAAAGAATTTTACAAAAGAAACACTAACACAATATTAATTACCGTACCGTATGGATGTATGTATACATATATTTATATTTTACTTATATTAATACTTTTCTTAGCAGAAAGAAATATATTACAAAATATAGAAAATTCAATAATTATAATTTTAATTACATACTTAGTTTGTGTTTGTTTGTTATTTGCTATTATTATTTTTTGTTATAATTTTCGTATAGTATCATCATCAGTCCGTCTATTCAATTTTAATAGAAAGAAATAAGAATGATTAATGTCTTTAAAATGTACAGCAACTTTTCTAAAGAAGAATTTAATTATTAATTAGCACGTACATAATACTTTTCTATTTATATTTATTATTGCTTTTTTATTTTAATTAAGATTATAAATTTAATTTTTATTTAATTAAGATATTCATTTAAATTATTATTTTTAAAGATTATTAGATATTAAAATAAAAAAATAATAATTATTAGCTCATTTTTCTCGACATGAAACGTTATTTCTCATCAACTTATTAAATAGGTTATCATATATTTTAATAACGTAAGGAGTAATTATATCACTAGAGATGAGCTTTCGCGGAAAGTAAAAACAGCATTACAACGGTCAAGACGGGTCATTGTACTTAAATGCTTTACACGTATCATAGGTTCGATTTCCATTTATAATGTGCAATGTCTTAATACAATATATATTAGATATTATAAGCCATGAACGAATAATTCGTTCATGTTATAAGCTTATAACTATTTGTAGTCAAAAGACTATTTAAAAAGAGAATCTTTGAGTTTGAGTTTGAAAAATTAATATATGTAGGGCGAATTTATCTAAAATAAAAATTAAATAAATATTGTTTATGCATTGACATAAAAGTTAATTGAATACCATTTTGTTATAAAACTATAATTACTCTAATTTTATTCGTTTAAAACTTAGCATCGATTTTTTGTATAATATGTGTGTGTGTGTATTATAACCTCCTAATGCTCCAAAACTTACTTGAATTTGAAGAGCTCGGTGCAAACAAGGCGATGAAAACGAAAAATAGAACTGCGTATCTCTCCATCTTGAATAACATAAAATAAATAAGTTTCCCGCGATTCTAAATTTAAATCTAAGCCAGAGATAATATAAATATATAAACTTTTTTTTTATTCCCACGCACACGTCTGCCGTGCACAGCCTGTGGAAGCTATGTGTTTGCGAGTTTGCAGTCTGCAACGGATCATCCACTTTCCATTGTAGGTGAAGTCAGGTTCGCATGTAAAGCCTGTTTCATTGTTTTTGCTTAGATTAGTTAACATTATTTTTTTCCTTTTACTTGAAGAGTTTTATAACAAAACGTTCTTGTTAAGCATTTAGTCCTAGGTTGTTTTTTTATTTCGAATATATTTGTTGTTTTTAAATAATGTGCTTTTATTAGTCGATTGAGTTGAGCTTAGGACATCTAAATTTTTTTCTTTTAGATAATTTATTATTAAGAGATATTTATTACACCGGCAGGTATTATCATGTATTAAATCACTTATAGTTATTTAAAATTAATTATAATAGTTGAAAAAAATCTTGAATAATTGAAAGTAAGCTTTGAGGCTAAGCAAATAAAGATATAGATAAAAATACAATTAAACCAAATCACAGCTACGAATCTTAAGACTCACCGTTACTTACCGGTTTGATTGTAACCGACTTTCCGAAGCTTTATCACACGACAAAAATGGAACGTGTTAAGAATCTTATATTATACTTTTGTGTCAAGCGTTTCCTATAATTTATCCTACGAGGTGTTGATCACGTACATTGTGAAGAATATATTTCTATTTGAGATTTATTATTCTACATACATATATTCTCACTTCATAAATTTTATTTACCACACATTTCTTACCATTTATACGATTTAATATTTTACATTTTAGCCGACTTCAACATAGAGCTTAAGCCGACTTTAAAAATATTTGTGAATATGCTCTTTAAAACCTCTTTAAACTTTGTATGTGTGTTCTGTAGCTTATTTAATTGACATAATTAAACGTTTGCATCTTTTTTAAATTCACTATAAACAAAGATTTTTTGCATAATTTTGACTAAAGAAGCACAGAGGAAAATGTCGGAGTTAAAGTAAGTACATCTGTATTTTTAAAACTAACGTCACAACTAATAAAAAAAATATATGTTATAACTATAATCTTAACTTCTAAAAATCTTCTTAACTAATAAAAAAAAATATTTTAATATGTATTACCACTTCCAAATAAAAATTATTTGGAAGTAGTAATTCATGTTAAAAATGCATGTACGAGTATGTATAAAATTCATTGTTGTTTATTGCATGTTTATCTCATTTGGTTTGATTGATTATTAAATAAGAATTATAAAATATATAAAGAAATAATTTTATATTTTATTTTATTTTCAAAACTATTACAAGAATTATTAAATTCTTTGTTAGGACTCATAAAGTCATAGTTATTCTTTTAATTTATTCGTGCACCTTATAAGGTCAACGTATGTCAAATAATCCACTCGAATCGTTTACTATCTTTATAATATTTTTAACATAAATTCTTAATAAATAAATATTTTATATACATGTAAAAATTACTAATTTTCTTCGCATTTTACCTTTTATTTAAAGATTCTCTAAGAACTAAAAATTAAAAAACTCGTCTTCTTCAAATGGTTCTTCTTTATCACTTTGAACACGGAGAGCAGACAATTTGAAACCACTTTCCTGCATTTCATCCACTTTTGGTAATTCTTGCTTGATCATTTCCTCAACATTGACTTTATTCAACTCCTGCTGAACTTTTTCTTTGATTGGACCTTCTAAAGCATCCATTATTTGGTATCTTAATAGATTAGGCAGGACATTTACAGCAAATTCAATGATATAGTCTAAGGTTCCAGCACCATCAAAACGCACTTGAATATTACCAACTTCTAGGTCGAGATCTCTAAATTGAGGCTTTTTCCTTGTATCCATAGGTTGTGCGAGTATTATTCTTCCACTGATATATTCTACAGAAAATGAAGATCTACCAGCTCTAGAAATCAAGCCGCTAATAGCAGCTATTTCCCATTGAGTTGTTCCTTCAAGCTTTTGAGTACCAATGTCAAAATCAGCAATTACTGTATTGTTTTCCATTTTTAAAGTTATATTTCCCACACGTTGAAATGATGATAAACCTGTTACCCAGGTGTGACTTAAAGATACCGTGAACATGCTGGCAGTTGTATTATAATCGTTAATTTTGTAAGGATCCATTTCCATATCGCGAACTTTTTTCCTGACATCAGCTATGACCATATCTAGAGGAGATATAGAGTTGGGAAACTGCATATCTCCAGCAACTTCGTCCAGTTTCTTGTTGATTTCCTCCCTTGCTTTAGTATACGCTTCTTTGAGGACGTATGGTTTGATTGAATCGAAGAGAAAAGTACCAATGGAATTGACAACACCTTGCAGCATACCACCAAAGAAGCCAGCATTTTCAAAATTCATCGCTATATTAGTAAAAGCCATGTCAATCGCAATATCTTGAGCTCTTAGTTTTCCGTCACGTTCTACTCCTAAATTAGCTTTAGCGGTTATCTTGATGCCTGTGATGTCGACGGTGAAAGGTCCTTGAACTCTATTTAGCCAAGTTGACATCGTATAATTTCCTCGAGCTTGTAGTTTGTCGATAGCTAGACCTGCATGCACCTGGAATGGATATAGGTTTTGGTTTAGTAATTTCAGTATCGTAACTTGACATATATAGATAAATAGACACATAAATAATTTATTGCACGTGCAAAGAAGATTACATTGTATAAATAAATCACAAAAGCAAAAGAAAATAAAACAATAGGCATACAAAGGCGGTCTTACTGCTGTGAGCATTCTATGACAGACAACCTTTGGTGAAAGGAATTGGAGAAGTGTCATCATCGTTTGTTTGTTTATGTATCATCGTTTTTTTATTCTAACCAGTTTTTGTATTTTTTCTCAGAAATGAGATATTTTTCTGCGGTAAAAAGTATCCTATATGTTGACCCGGATAATCAGCTATGACCATACCAAATTTCAGCAAAATCCGTCCAGTAGTTTTTCTGTGATACGGTAACAGACAGACAGACAGACAGACAGACAGACAGACAAAAATTCTAAAAACTATAGATTAGGCCTATGTATCGATAATAATGTCTATTTCAATAAGATTTTCTACAAAATATTTAATGTACAGATTTGACTTAGTTAGAATTTTATTATATGTATAGATGATAGTTCATATAATAGATTTTTTGTCGGTCGTTTTAAATTTTTGTAAAACTTAATAATGGAGACTGATGTTTTTTGAAGATCATGTCTATTGCTAATGACAAAACAGATACAAAAAACTTAAAAGTAATGTTTCTTTGAAAAAAAAATATTTTTTTTGAACAAAGTTTGCTATTATTTATAGAATATACAAGGCACCATCAAATTGACACTGATCACGATACTGTACTAAACTGCACGGACACTATCCGTTGTTGTCCACTAGAATAATTTTACACTCAAATGCTTTCATTTTATTATTGCTTTTATGTTATAAGGGTCTTATAGTGATAAAAGTAATCGTTCTAACAGGTTTATAATATATGAAATATAAAAAATCTTTATAATTTAAGTAGCCTTTTCAAAAACAAATGCCTGTGTTTTATCTTCTACGCTCCTAAACAGATTTTTATGAAATTTGGCATAGGCATAGATGATGTTCTCCCGACCGATTCCGGCCACAGCGGCCAATCTCATTGAGACTAGCCAAATGAGCAGGAGATATTATAGTGCACAAGTGTAACACAAGTGCACTCTCTATTCCTGTCACTCTCATACTCCGGTGGGAGGACTGCTCGACACGACCAGTGAGAGTTAAGGCGCAGGACCGACGGCTTTACGTGCTCTCCGAGGCACGAGGCTAAAACACCGCCAACTTCCCAACTCCGGGCTGTTACTGAGGCTTACTTATACAGAAAGACTCAATAACTAAACTTGGCCCGACCCGGGACTCGAACCCAGGACCTCCGGGTGTGCAGCCGTACTTGCTAGCCATTACACCACCGAGGCAGTTATATTATGGAAACGGATATAGGTCACTTAAGTGGTGCTGCGGGTAAAAACTATAATTTATAATAATATATTTACCTCCATAGCTCCGATCTCTGCGTTTATATAGAGAATACGAAATTTGCTGATACCATAAACAGCTGTGTTTTTAAAATAAAGAGTTCCAAGAGAGATTGACTGCTTCATATCGGGTACGTTGTATGGATCTGGTACGTTTGCGCCCGGAATCCCAACGGGATTTGGTTGTTTAAAATGTTCAAGAACTTTTAGTATGTATTCACTCATTTTTTCTTCCCCCTTAGCCAGCTTTGACTGAGTAGTTGAAGGCACATCTGAAATATGTAAAATGATGTAAAAAGGTTGTAGCTTAATCTTCATATTTTTCTTTTACAAAAAAAACTTTGTCTCTCACAAAGATAATATAATTGGCTTTTTTTAATCAACATAATATATAGACATAGACTTGTAATTTTTTAAAATGAAAATTGGTAATAAAAGAACACTAAAAGGATCATGAAAATAAAAAATCTATAAAAAGTTGGTAATAAAAGAACACTAAAAGGATCATGAAAATATTAATAAACGTTAAATATATCTTATCATCAATGTTGTTTAAATGATCTCAAATGCTCTCTAGTCTTAGCGTAAATACTATTTTATTAGAAATACGTCTCTATTTTTAAGGAAATACTTCGTAGTATGCAAATTCATTGAACAACTACATTCTTAGAAATATTCATCACTATACTTTAGCATTGACTAAAAACAAAAATGGACAGATGAAAAATGACATAATTTTTAAATTATTATTACATCCATATGAGTATAAATAAATAATAATATTATATTATATTGTTAATGCAAAATAATGATTTAAATTATATATGGCAATTTTTTTTGTTAATATATAATTTACATTAGCAATCAAATTATTGAATGAATTTAAAAATACCATAACAGAGTTTTTATGCTTAACCTCTTAACATATCACTGCAATAAATACCTTACTTTTATTATACATGTACATAAAAACATCCCTAAATTTATAGAATTAGCAATTTACCTTCTCCATGCCCCAAAGCAAATAAAACGAGTAACAAAAATATCCACATTGTACTCCGCTTGTATGTAGACACTAACACAATCTCTCCCAGTCACTGAATGAACATCCCGTATGGGTCACAGGTCATATTTTATCTTTTACGCATAACTAAATGCTGTTGTTTTAATACTCTATGTTATGTAGAGACAGAGAGCTCTAACTTCAATTCGTTGTAAAATAATACAGCAATTTAGCAAATTACTTATAAACAGGGTAAATTCTCTCATAATTAGTTATAAGGACTTATGATTAATTACGTTTATTTATGTAAATATATTCTGTTATTGAATAAACATTAGTTTATTTTTGGCCTAATTGATCTATGTTAGTTCTTTTTGTGCTGATTTGTGTTGTTTTTATGTACAACCAAATCAATGATAGTCGTAGTTATTAAATTTGGTAAATTCATAAATTAATTGCGCAATAAATTCGTGTATTTTGGTGAATTTAATAGACTTCAAATATTAATGAAACTGCCTGTATCTAAAAATCAAATTAAAAAAAAGCGTATGAATACACATATATATTTATTTATTTATTTATGTACCATAAAATATATTCGTATGTTATACAAAATATAATAACAAAATGTTGACAAAGGATAACTTATCTCTTTAAGAGATTTCTTCCAGAAACCCTATATATATATATACAGGTGACTTTACTATTAAGAGGGCGTTGATGATGTAATCTGAAAATATTTGCGATCAGCAATCAGCAGATTTACGAGTGTTGGTTTTTTTGTGTAATGTAATGCAAAAATATAAATATAAAGTAAGAATACTTAAAGGTGGTCCTTTAAAGTGGTTTTTAAATTAATTATACATATCTTTTAGGTAAAAATACTTAACGAATAGAAACTGTACTATTATATATATCATAAAAAAATGTTCATAAAAGTCTAGTCGTTCTCGACGACTTGATGAAATTGAGAAACGGACATGAAAAGAATGCTTTATTTCGATGTAGCTTAAACTTTTCACTATATATTTAGATTTAACTGCTTACCACATATATTATCTATATTTATAATTTAACAGTAACGTAGACACGAAATATTTTTTTAAAACCATGACTGTAACGTATCGTGTACTGAATATAGACCCCAAAATAATTGTTTTAACTAAATTTTGTGAAGTGATAACTTATTATTTGAGGCAACATTTAGGATACATTTTACTACAGGAAAATCTATCATTCCCACGGGAAAACACAATAACTGGTTAGGTTAGTTTAGGTTAGTTTGTTAATACTTTCTCCCCCAGCGTGCGTTCACCTTGTCGTGGTGGGGGGGCTCAGTAGTGCCCGGCAATACAGCCGGGCGCGAAGCCAAGACTCGCACAGGGCGGTGGCCTACTTCGTTGGGCGGTGGGAGGTGGCCCTCTTCGGAGGGCGGTGTACCATGCGGGTTGCTCCTGGTACTTCTCTGATAGCAGAGTGGACCTTGGAGCAACCCCGTGGTTGTTGTGGTCTGCTTCGGCAGACTTGCCGTCGGGGCGTCGTAGTTGAATGCGTAAGCGATCCTGCGACGCCCCATTAAGACGTGGGAAGGCTTTGTTGGGTTTTAGTGGGTAGTACTGGCTTTGCCGGTGAGTCCCACGCCTCGTGCGTAATTGCATTTCCCAACGTTAAAACAAAAAAAAGTTTGTTAATACTTTGTTTACATTTCTAACGCTTGCTAAGTTTTAACAACAACATACACAATATACTAGAAAATTGTAGGTCTTAATAAAATCTACGGAAAAATCTGCAATAGAATAAGTCTTTTTCTTAAGGGCGCAATAACTATTCATATCCATTTAAAAGATCAGCAAATATTCGAGCGAAGCGAGGTTAAGTCGCTAGTTAAGTAAAAAAATATTTATGTATAACATAAAGAATAAGTCAATATATTAAGATTTAAGGTAATTAAATGACAACACCTTTTCAATAACATATGTTGGTATATTTCAATTATAAAGTATTTTAAAAATTAAAAAAATCATCCTCATCATAGCACGGTTCATCTGTGTAATTTAAAAATCTAAATTCAGAAAGCTTAAATCCAATCTCCTGCATTTTATCTATTTCTGGTAATTTATTTATAATTTCTTCTTCAATATTGATCTCGTTTAGCTCTTGTTGTAATTTCCATCTTAATGGATTCTGTAAAGTACGTAATATTTGATATCTTAATAAATTTGGTAATATATTGGCTGTGAGTTCGAGCAAATAATCCATTGTTCCCGCCCCATCTGAACGCAGTTGTATATTTCCCACCTCAACTTCTAAATCTTTCAATTCCATTCGTTTTCTGGTATCTAATGCCTGTACGAGTTTAAATTTTACTTTTATATGTTGAATTGAAAATGAATTTGTACCTGCTACAGAGATAAAACCTTTAATCCCAGAAAACTCCCATCGAGTGGAGCCTTCTAGTTCCTGACTTCCTATATTAAAATCTGCTATTACTGTATGATTTTCTATTTTAAAACTAATGTTTCCCATACGATGTAAAGATGATAAGCCTTTTATACGCGTGTTGTTAATACTTATTTTAAAAATATTAAGATTTGTATAATAATCGTCAATTTCCAATGGATCCATCTTCATTAGTTTAATTTTCTTTCTAAGATCTACCATGATCATGTCCAACGGTGATATTGTATTAGGGAATTTAATATCTCCAACAAATTGGTCTATTTTGCTATTTATTGCCTCTCTCACATTTTCGTGCGCGTCTCTTAGTATGTACGGCTTGATAGAATCATAAAGGAAAGCACCCATCGAATTAAATACTCCTTGTAATAGGACAGCTAATAAACCAGCATTTTCAAAATTTACAGCGATATTCTTAAATGTTATATCAATAGATATATTTTGGGCCCTCAATTTTCCATCTCTTTCAACTCCAAGCGTGGCTACAGCAATATTTCTAATACCAGTTATATTAGCAGTAAAACTTCCTTGGTGGGAATTCAGAAACATATTGTATGAATATTTTCCCCGAATTTGTAAGTTATCCAATTCCAGCGTGGCACTGCACTAAAAATAGGAAATGTAATTAAAAAAAAACTAAACTATGAATCATGTTATATAATATTATTATGCATAGTTAGTCGATGATGTTAATTATTTCTGTTGCCAATTCATTTGCATACATTTTACAACGTAAGCTGATCACAATGATAACCCTATGGCTTGCATAGTAACATTGTCTTATTGGTATAGACCAACCTACCAACCCTGGGTTCGACTCCGGGATCGGGATTCGAATGAATACAAGCAACAGCACGTGGAGATATCGATGCTCTGTGTGCCTGATCCCTCACCGGTCTCGTCAAATGGTCATCCCATCGGAATTTGAGAATGTAAAGAATAGAGAGTACTCTAGTGTTTGCGTGCATACTTGTATAGTGTACTCTATGTGAGAAATACTCTAATCTCCTGCGCAAATAAGTTAGTTAAAGTAGTATCGGTAAAATTGGCCGTGATCAGCCATCCTATGACATTATTATTCCTTTGTCTAAATAGAAGCATATTATGACTCTATAGGCTATCGTCGATTATCAAGGACTTTTCGAATCTTCCAATATAAATTTTATAGAAAAAAGGAGATGAAATTAAACCAATATGAAATATAATCAAAAACATTAACCTGCATTTTTCCAAGATCAGCAATAATATAAGGCATACGAAATTTATTAACACCATATAGTTTAGTTTCCGAAAACACAAGGCTGGTTGCGAAACCTAAAGGCTGCCTTATATCAGGGATATAATAGGGATCTGGGAATTTAACTCCTGGTAAACCTTCAGGGTTAGGTTGCTTGTAATGTTCGATGACTTTGAGAATATATTCGCTCATCTTTTCTTCTCCTTCCAAAAGCTCTCCAGCCGATGTAGTTTCGAAATTATCATCTGAAAGAGTTTAATAGCAATATTGTATCATAGGTAAGTAAATATTGTTTTTGTATCAGGCGTCTTAATAAGTAGACATTTTTAATACATATATGTATTATGCACACTTTGATTGTTAATTCAATAATTGTATGAATAACACAATCATTTATCTGGTTTTGTTATAATTTTTTACACAGGAAAAGAAAACACATTGTTACAATTATACTTATTGTAATAAATATTATGTATAAGAGAGTTTTATGATTTTTTATTTAATACAAGGAAAATATATTATTTTTCTCTTGATTTTTAATAATTATGTTTATATTTTCGGGACCTCTGATTAGTTTGGATTCATATAGATTACGATTCAAACGTACATATATAAAATAAAAATATTTTGTCGATGTCTCCATTAGTTTTAAAAATAATTATAAGTTATTTTACTTTCGAATTAATATATAACATATATGTTGCGTTTAAAATAACTCACTATTTTTTTACTGAATGTGTTAAGGTTATTTCCTTTATTTATTTATTTATACTGTGTATTCTTGCACCTAGAAAATCTCATCAAGTAGTTCCACTATCCGCCTTCTTTGTTTATTGTAAGTTTTGGCAATTTAATAATAAAACTAACTTTTTGGATTTTTTCGCGGATTTATTTTGATTTTGGGTTTGGTTGGGAAACAAAAATGAAAATTAATCGGCGAAAAAATCCGACAACATAGTTTTATTTAAAATGTCAAATAATCGCGTAAATCTAATGGTAAGGAAGCCTGGGATGCTAAATTTAGTTAAAAATTTGATTAATAATTTTATTTATTAATAATAAATTTATATTTTTATAAGTAACGATTATTATAAGAATATATATATTTTTTAATTATTAATAATAAATTTGACTCTCACTTCCGCGACACTCATATTTCCAACGTATTGACTTACCCCTCAGTTACGCCTAAAGCAGTTTTACTTTAATAAATAAAACTTCACTTTTAAAAAATATTGTATGCAAAACAAACATACAGATAGTACGTACCTTCACTTTTGACGTTTATCGACTGTAAAATAAATAAAACTATTAATAAATTCATAGAGCACATTGTCTTACATAGTGTGACTATGTCACATTTAATCGTGTAATTCGGATGTGTATTGATAATTTAGGAAGATCAGGGGTCGCCTTATCTCTTACGAAAACGTAACATAATATTGTATATCTCATATGAGTATGCACGTCATTTTTGTATTTTATATAATTTTTATAGGTGACAACCCTCTCGTGCCTAATGCAGTGATAGACGTGGGTTCAAAGGGGTTTCTAAGCAGCGAGTGCGCTAAGATCTCTTATGGCCGATTTCACCAACGTTACCTAAGTTTATGGGATCCCCTAAGCATGTTTAGGGGGCTGTTGGGGGACAGTTTCTGTTTCACCGACAGTTAGGTTAGGTTAGGCCACCGCCCCCCCCCAACGTGCGTTCACCTTGTCGTGGTGGGAGGGCTCAGTAGTAGTAGCGAAGCTAAGAAACGCACAGGGAGGTTGCCCACTTCGGTGGGCTGTGGGAGGTGGCCCTCTTCGGGTGGCGGTGTACCTTGCGGGTTGCTCCTGGTACTTCTCTGATAGCAGAGTGGACCTTGGAGCAACCCCATGGTTGTGGTGGTCTGCTTTGGCAGACCTGCCGTCGGGGCATCGTAGTTGAATGCGTAAGCGATCCTGCGACGCCCCATTAAGACGGGGGAAGGTTTTAGTGAGTAGTACTGGCTGTATTACGCCGGTGAGTCCCACACGTCGTGTGCGTAAATGCATTTCCCAAAGTTAAAAAAAAGGTAAAAAAAAAGGTTAGGCCACCTAAATGTTAAAATGCCATCTAAATATAGGCACTAGAAATACGGGTTCTGATGATGTTAAAACTAAATTTAATTTAGGGGCTAGTTTAGGGGAACTTTTAAGCTAGGGATCCCATACGTAGGTGGTAGCTTAAGTAATGTTGGTGAAATTGGGCATTAATCATTCAGATTGGATTGGGTGTCAGTTTTTACATTATTAATGAAATAAATTTTAGAAAAAATAACAACTAGGTACAAATAGTTCAAAATCAAATCAATTTTTTCTTTATTTTGTTTTTACCCTTTTACGATCTAAAGAAGCATATTGATGGTTTGGTGTTATGGTATGATTACGTTATTATAATCATGACTGTGCATTAATGCATTAGTTTTAGAATTATAGTACCTATTCATAAAACTGTTCCAGAGCCTATTTTCTCTTTCTAAGCCCTAAATATTGTCTGGGATATTATTTACAAACATATTCACAAAGAGAAAAAAAGTTTAAAATTTTATTGATAGAATTCAAATCAATCAAAAATGTATTTAGAACATTTGTGAAAGAATCTTTACGTATTTGAGCAATAGATATTTAAGTAAATATATACTGACAACAGACGGATTAGTTAGTAATTTACAAATTTTTGAATTTGGAAATGATTATATAGTACATAATACATATATACTCATACAATATAGAGTCGAGAAGAGTCCAAAATATTGCCAGTTGCCAATAAAAACAACTGATTTGTTATCAACGTATCTTTCGAAGTCTTACTTTACCAATAACATAAATTCTTGTAGACTTGCCAAGATACGAGATTTTCGTTCCTGTGTACGTGCAAGTATAATCAGCTTAAGGGTTTTTCCAGTATGGCATATTATAAGAGCCGATGGTAACAATTGTAATCTCTTTTATTGTATCAATTTATGTATATAAGTAGGTACCAGAAATTTAAGGAAAAAGGAAAACGTTAATTGTAAAAAAAGGATATTTTGTAGGGTATAAGAAAGACGCAGCGTTATTACATTGCCTTAATAAAATTTATCTGTATCTATACGTCTTACTCGGAAGCACCCTATCATTCTTTCTAGGTTGGTTAGGTTAGGATAGAATCTGACGTGCGTGCGTTCGTTTACTTTGTCGTGGTTGGGGGGCTTAGTAGTGCCTGGCAAGACAGCCGGGCGCGAAGCCAAGAAACGCACAGCGAGGTGGCCCACTTCGGTGGGCGGTGTACCATTTTGGTTGGTGTGGTGGACCATTGGAGCAACCCCATGGTTGTAGTGGTCTGCTTCCGCAGACCTGCCATCATGGCGTCGGAGTTGAGTTCGTAAGTCATTCTGGGACGCTCCATTATCCATTATCCTGACGTGAGAATTACTCTGTTTAAATCTTTCTGCCAGTCGTTTTACACGTGTCAACTTTGGACTAACTATACTAAGAAGTCGCATGATGGCATACGAGTAGCCTACAATAACGTTTTTCGAATCCTCATGGACTTGAAGCGTTACTGTAGCGCTTCAGAAATGTACGCGGAGGCTAGGGTCGATTCATTCAGTGCCATACAACGTAAGAGGATTGCATCATTCATGTCTAGGGTTGATACGTGTAATAATGGCATTATTAGAAGTCTGTCTGCTAGGCTGATGCTGTCAGCAATGTACCGACGCTGGGTGGATATTGCCACCTAGTTTCTATTTGTAATTTATATTGTTTATATTATTTTATTTTTATTGTATTATTGTATGTGTTCTATGGATCAAGGGTCTGAAATAAAGAATTATTATTATTATTATTAAATTTTTTAAGCTTTAAAATCTTTTTAATTACGAAGGTAATTTTTACTATACACGGGCCTTTTTTTTTTTTTAACGTTGGGAAATGCATTTACGCACGAGGTGTGGGACTCACCGGCGTAATACAGCCAGTACTACCCACTAAAACCCAACAAAACCTTCCCCCGTCTTAATGAGGCGTCGCAGGATCACTTACGCATTCAACTACGACGCCCCGACGGCAGGTCTGCCAAAGCAGACCACCACAACCATGGGGTTGCTCCACAGTCCACTCTGCTATCAGAGAAGTACCAGGAGCAACCCGCATGGTACACCGCCCCCCGAAGAGGGCCACCTCCCACCGCCCACCGAAGTGGGCTACCTCCCTGTGCGTTTCTTAGCTTCGCTACTACTACTGAGCCCCCCCACCACGACAAGGTGAACGCACGTTGGGGGGTACTATACACGGGCCTGAGCCAAGTGTAAAGTAAGGAGTAAGGGATGGGGAAATTTATTATTATTAAGACGGGGAGGTTCCTGTGGGTTTTAGTGGGTAGTGCTGGCTTTATCGGTGAGTCCCACACCTCGTTCCTAAATGCATTTCTCAACGTTAAAAAAAATAGTTAGGATAGAACAGGGACCACAACGCACGTGCCGAACGAGTGAAGCGAGCGTGCCGCGACAGCAGCCGGCAAGTGTCATAAACGACTAGAACTAAAGCGACTCATGGTGTTGCAAAAACTCTATATTTCCAGTAAGATTGAGAAATGTTTTCACTATTGTCTTATTATACGTGTTTTTATTTATTTATTAAGATTACCAACAGAAATGACAATAATACAAATACAATTAACATAATACAATAAACACAGTATAATTGTATTTCTTTTTAGAGGTAATCACAACATGCGTAGAAACAAAAGAAAACAAACAGTTTAATAAATGAAACAATATTAAGAAATTAAAAACTACATTATTGGATAAATTAATATAAATAAATTATTGAAAAGAAATATAATTATTTAACAGTATTATAAGTAGTTTTTTTATTATATAATATTAATCACATTAAAGAGAACAACAAATTCAATGTAATACTAGGTAATTAATTAAATATAATACTAGGTTATTCATTATTTTTAAAAAAGTTGACTAATTTTAATTTGAAGGTAGGTAAATTATCGTAAAAAAATTATTAAATTTTCGCAATATTCTTAGGGTTTTATAGCTAATTGCCTTATATTGAGTTCTTTATTAAAAAAAAATTTACTCATACATAATGTTTTTAAAGTAGGGTTACGCATTAAGTAAATGATGATTGAAGATTTTTTAAATGAAAGGTAAAACCCATGATTTGAA